AAACATTATGATTGTTTACATTAGAAATTACATATATATCATGTTTTAGTTTGGGTTGCCATTTGTTGGGCAAACGTTAGAATTGTTTTGGAAACGTCCCATTTACAGCCGTTATGCTGTCAAAATTGACTTGCAATTTTTTTTAAACTATATATAGGATGAGTATTCAACTGGTATCAGCCAAAGATACGGCGATGATCCCTCAACCTATCCATTAGTTGATAAAGAGTTGTGGAAGCAAGCGGTTGAGGGAAGCAAGAAAGGCCGTTTATTTGGGTTTGGGTACAACCAAGATCCCAATTGTGTCTTGACCGGGGGACTTTCCGGAAGTTGGTTCATCGTCTTCAGATAAGCACGTATGTGTCTCTTTTCTTTTGATGATGTTTATCGACTTAGCTTATAATTCATATTAAATATTATAACGTTTTATTTATTTTATAGGAAATTCAAACCTTAAAGACCCAACTTAGAGACTTACAGGAACAAAGTCAGCGCCAACGGATGGCGGAGGAGGAGCGACGTTTGGCGGAGGAGGAGCGATGGCGGGCGGCGGAGGAGGAGCGACGTTTGGCGGAGGAGGAGCGATGGCGGGAGGCGGAGGAGGAGCGATGGCGGGAGGCGGAGGAGCGACAGCGGGTGGCGGAGGAGGAGCGACGTTTGGCGGAGGAGGAGCGATGGCGGGCGGCGGAGGAGCGACGACGACAGAGAGAGGAGGAACAGGATAGACGACTTCAAGATATGGCTGCTTTGTTTACACAGCTCAGTCAATCTCAACATTTCCCCCCGCCACCATAATGAATATTGTCTTTTGCCTTTAAACAATTTAGTTTTGTTTATAACAATTTAGTTTTTGTTTGGTTGGATTAATTGTAGTTTCACTTTAATGTATGATATTTAGTTCGATTTCACCTTTTTATTTTCAGTTTTAATATTGTACAGATTTGCAGTTTTTAAATACAGGTTTTAAATATTAATTTTAAAATAAATCTAAAATATTATTATATATATATTTCCGGCGGACCAAATCCGCCGGTATTTTTTTAAAAAAATTAATTATTTTTAAAATATTAATTTTTAAAGAAAATATATTTATTATATATTATTCCGGCGGATTTATCCGCCGGTATTTTTTTAAAAAAATTAATTCTTTTTTAAAATATTAACTTTTAAAAGAAAATATTTAATATATATATATATATATATATATATTATTCCGGTGGATTTATCCGCCGGTATTTAAAAAAAAATAATTTTTTTTAAAATATTATTTTCTTTTCAAAAAATATTTCCGGCGAGACACGTTTCCGGCGGATTTCCGGCGGGAATTTCCGCCGGAATTTTTTTCAAAAAAAAATTTAATTAATTTTTAAGTTAATCAAGATTTTTTTTTAAAAACGGACGGAGATTTTCCGGCGGCCGTAATCCGCCGAAAACGTGGGAAATCCGCCGGAAACACCGCCGGGAAAAAAATCACCGGCTCCCCTTTTTCCAGCGGCCAAATCCGCCGGAAATTCCTTTTACCGGCGGATTTCCGGCGGATTTGGCCGCCGGAAAAAGTGGGTTTTTTGGTAGTGATATATATTGTTCTTATTTTATGTTTCTTTAAGTTTCATTCTCCAAGTAAAAATGTCAAACAGGCAGATTGCAGAAACAGGAACAACGGAACAGAGGAGGAAAAAAACAGAAAAGGTCATCAAAAACCGGGTCGGGGAACGGGTCTTGAGTCGGGGACCGAGGTTTGACCGGAGTTTTACCGGGGACATGATATTAATCTCCGTACCCACCGGGGACCGAAGCCGAGGCCAGAGGCTGTTACTAAAAACAGGTCCGGAGAACAACCAAGTCTTGTTAGCAACAAGCCAACAACCACAGTTCGGTAGGCACTCGACGGTCACGATTTGCAGATTTGGGGACGCTAGACGAGTAGACAATAGGAGAACGTGAAGTCGAGAACTGAATCAATGAATTGAGTTGGAGTATTGGTCCTATTGAACTTGACCTAGACAATAGTTGGATTATATTTGAGCTATGTAAATTGGATAAGTGATACGTGTATTTAATTTTCAGGTTGTACATTAGACTAAAAAATATACATATTTTTGGACTGTAAATTATAATTTTGTAAATATCATATATACATAATTCTATAAAATAATATATATTAGCAGCAGGTTGGCAGTTTGGGTTGGGTTAAGTTATGTTAACTCAATTTCAACTCTCCTAATTAGCAGTTTGACGGTTTAACGGTTTGCCGGTTTGAATTTAATTGGGTTGTTAACGGATTAGATTGGACATGATTCACAGATTGACGGTTTTTTCTATACTCATAGGAATTGATAGAACTAAAGGTGGAGGAATCCTTAAAAGTTTGAATAAAATATAAAAAAGAAGTCAGGAAAATAATATTTTGGTTATAGCAGAGATATATTGAGGTTTTTGAGGAGTTATGTTGGTGCGACATATCGTGGAAAAACTTGAAAAAAACTTATAACCAATACACACCACTTAAAAAAGAAAAAAAAAAATTATTTCCGAGTAAGCGTTTATCAACTCAGTTTATTTTACCGGATGAATATGCAAGAACCAAGAATCTTATCTGGAAAAAGCGAGACATGGACCGAAAGTCTTACCCAGTATGTGAGAGCGACGAATCTTACCATGGTTAGTACTTTACTTACCAGGTAAATCCTTGTATACGATGCCATTTTTATTAACTAAAATCTTATCCAGTAAATAAACGATAGTGATGAATTTTACTGTATATCATATTTATATACAATAAATGTAACTCCTGACTTTCTAGGAGGTTGAAGGCTCGGATAACACTAGATCAAAAACCGTTTGGTTACTGATCTCCACTTGTCCTAATCACAAGAAGGTATATGTCCTTTTACCCAATGAAAAAAGCAGGAAGGCGGTAGATGGTTTAAGGAGTCAGCAACAATAAAAAATGAGAAGCAGTGTAATAAAAATATATAGATTCCGTCCCTCATCAGGTTGCCAAATGTATCATACATCCATGCATCACATTGGTACTTGTGATTTTTGTATTTATTATTCACATACGTAATACTTTTTGTCTCAATAATGTGCCCAAATGACACTTGGTTAAAATTGAGATCTCAGTGCTAAAGTGAATTTACCCTTGGTAAAACCTGTTTAGATTGCTTTGTCACATCATGTCTCATGTACCAAACGCAACTTTATTTCCAAAAAGATCGAAATGTACAGGTAACCGATGCCGAATCCTATATATTCTGCTAAGTCAGCTTAAGGGTCGGGACCTATAAAACGAGAAAAAGCAAACAGCTTCTCCTGAACGGTTGAATCTGTTTCACAATTTTTTACTAGAAAATTAGATTTGAGATTTTCAAACGAAACCACCCAACAATATTTGCAGCAGATATGCACAAAGATCCCAGATCCTGTGGATGCCCACTTTATATGGTGCTGGGCACCACTCCTTTTCTGGAGTCTTCTGTACTGTGAACCAAGTGTTTGATCCATTTGAATACTCCAAGTCTCTTTTTTCTAAAATATATAATATTTATATACTACAAAACTCGTATACGCTCTTCATCTTGGATGATGGTTGAACCCTTGACCCCTCGACTCTATCAGATACCATTGGGCCGACGACCCTTTTGGTTTATTGTCTCCTTTCTATCTCGAGTTTTGGCATAGGATACCATTTTATATGGTAGGCGAAAAGTACAACTGTATGAGATGATCAACTCACATTTGCTCTAATGGTATCACTGGAGGCTTTAACAGTGTCTTAATAAATACCAGCACAGGACTTCTTTAAGATCCAACTGCTATCTAACTTCATACAATCTTTGCTAAAACGAGTCGATCCTCAACAGAGATGCACAAAGCCCAAGCTTCAGAGGCCTGGACCATGCCCTTCCAAGCCTGTTTTCAGTAAGCAAAAACACAAGTGTTCGGGCTTTGGGTGTGAAAATAGTCCCGACCGAGCTTTTCTAGGCGTTTTTGGATTTTTGAAAAAAAAAATTTGGCCTGATCGGGCTTCTAGGCCTGGGTTTGGGTTTGCTAAGCCCGGGCTTCTAGGCCTGGGTTTGGGTTTGCTAAGCCCGGGCTTTTCCAGACCATCCCTCGGCCATTTGTGCATCTCTACTCGATACCAACAATGGAGAAGGAATTTCGCAATATCAGTTCATAGAATATGACGAGATGTCCCACATCGATTGTGAGTCTCCTTATAAATCAACTTACTCTATAATATAGAACAGAATTTTGTAGAAACATGTTCATGCTTTTACGGTATAAGTTTCAAGAATCCACTATTCATTTTCACTAGCAATAACATGGCATATAATAGGAGATATAGATATCATCCAATAGAAGAATACACAAGTAAAAGAAAAGAACTTTTCTGAGTTGTTCTTATTACCTATCACAAACACATACCAACAACCAACACAAATAACAAGATAGACGACATATAATCAAGAACACGAAGAGAAAACAGAAACAAATTTGCTGCAAAACTTTCCCAGAAATTCACCTGTCAATTCATGGCTGTGGAGTTCTCCCCGGTTGTTGCTTTGTACTACTATCTGCAGGAAGATAAGAACCAGATTCACCAGTCACAGTTTGATATTGAGCAGCGGACTGAGGCGGCAACTGCTGAGCGGCATAGTACATATGCTGTCTTTGTGCTGGATCAGCGTATTCATACCCGTAGTTAGCTCCACCACCAGCAACAGAAGAAGCAACTGACTGAGAAGGGTGGTGGATCTGCGAATACCCAACATACTGAGGCTGAGGCTGAGGCTGAGGCTGATGTTGGCTAGAAGGAACCTGAACAAATTGAGAACCACCAGAATTCGTTGTTCCAAAGACTCCGGCAGGTAAGTCACTTTTCGGGGTTTGAGCAGTCCTAGAGGTGGTGTATGACGAAGGTGGTGGTTGATTATGGGGAAGGGTGGTGGCAGATGCAGGAGGTGCCTCGGCGTAACTAGTAGGCTGCGGCTGCTGCTGCTGCTGCTGCATTTGCAGGTTGTAGCCATGAGGCGCCTGCCTAGCAGGCATATAATACACAAAGTTCTGCTGATCGATGGCTGGATGGTGAGGGTGGTGTTGGTTCTGGGATGGGTACATTTGGTAGTAAGATGCCATGGGAACCGCCCCAGATGGGTGGTGTTGGATGTACTGTGGTGGTGGAACGGCGGTGTGAATAAACTGTGGTTGTTGGTGGTGGAGTTGAGGATGTTGTGTATCAACTTGGGTAGTTGATATTGACATTAAATAAGCAGAATCTGCAATTTGTTGTTGTTGTTGTTGCATCTGAATTCTAGTGTTCTGATCAGGGGGGTTATTCAGATCAGTAGTTCGATTGTTGTTATTAGAAGATTGGATTTGTACCAATTGATCCTGATAAATCATAGGCGGCTTTTGTCTACCATCACTGCAATTTATACATATACAAAACTCAACTCAAGCAAAATCCCAAATGATTTTTCACTCCGGCATTTCCACAAACATTTAGTATACAATTCACTAAAAACAAATAGGTAAAGGAATTGAGATATACCTCGAAACTGAATCCGAAGAAGCCAAATCAAAACCCATAGATTGTTTTTGCTGATACTGCTGTTGTTGATGCTTTTGATAAGCAATTTGCGAACCCTGCTCCGATCTCTCATCCTCAGACAAAACTCGCTTCGGAGAATTCATTGGCACACCGGTAACAACCACCGGAGCAGGCGCAGCCACGTAACCCCCATCGTCTTGATGCTTGTGGTGTTGCGGCCGTACGCTCATCTGAGAAAACTGCTCCTCAATTCCCCCAACCTTCTGATTATCATCCACATGTACTCTAATGGGCGGTAAGCTAGCCAACGATGGAGAAGACGAAGCAGACCCGAACGAAGACGTCCTCTCTAAATCGGGTACCGAACGAACATCCTGTGCAGAATTATTCCCTTTGGGATTTTTGCCAATTACACCCTTGTGATCGAGATCCTTTTTCTCCGGGACGGAAGCATCGTCATCCAGACCTAATAAGCAATTCACCGACGAAGTATCGGAAAACCCCGACGTTGTACCGTTTAGAGCGTTAAGAAACCAATCTTCCGATTTAGTGCTGTTTTCTAGAAGCGATCCGATTGAGGAAACGGATTCGGGTTTGGTCGGAAACAAGAATAAACGAAGCCGTGACGATTTGTTGACGTCAGAGGAGGAATTCAACCTCTCATATTCGTCGATCATGTTCTCCAAGTCTTCGTCGGTGGTAACGGAGATCAACGAATCGAGGTCTTCCGATGGGAGCTGATACTTAAGCGTAAACACAGACGCCGTTGTAGACGTCAACGAGGATGAAGAAGAAGATCGGAAAAGGATTTTGGAGAGCCGCAGAGTGAGGTCAGAGAGAGTCGTGTGGCGGTCAACGACGACAATTCGTGTATCACCACCGACGTAGCAGAGGGACTTGTCATGGGGACGAGGGACTATGTGACCGCCATAGCTGCACATCAGTCGGAGCTTGGTCAAGCCCAGTTGCGGCAGCGCCGTCGTAGTGCCATTATTAGATGGGTATAGAGAGTTGTCCTCGCCCCAGGAATCGGTGTTGCGGGAACGAGGGGAAGAATCTAGAGAATCAGGGTAGGTGGCGGTGGTGGTGGTTGTGGCGACGGTGGCAGCGGTGGCGGAGAGCGACGGTGGCGGCGGAGTAGGGGTTTGTTCCATCGCTTTACAAGTTCTGGATTTGGGAGAGAATGGGCTGGCTTGGAGCTGGATGCTCTTATAATTAAAATAAATTTACTTTTTTCTATTATTAAAATATAATATTTAAATCCTTGTAATAAAAAAACTTATGAATATAATATTTGAGGTTGGTTATTATACAATATTTGACATTTGTGCGATCAATACAACTCAATCTTAATCGTTCATTTCATTTGATTAATATGTGATTTTATAGAAGTTTTGATTGTTTTCTAATATAAAGTATTGATCATAATTAATGAATCATATTCATATTCCATAAATATTCAAATCATAATAAATGAACTCTCATAATTTTCATAAATATCTCAATTTATCGGGTTGCATTGGTTATTATATGCCTACAATATTTTTAATTATTTTATGCAAAAGTTAATCTAATTACATGACTTTAAATGGGATGTTTGGGATTGTTTATTTGAAACAACTTATTCTTTTCTATAAAAGCATTTACCAATTTATTATAAGTCATAAGGGTTTAACTTGTTCAAAAACTCTTTATTATAGGTTTGACATTGGTATAAGTTGTTTATCTAAACACTCAAAAATATTTATTACCGATATCACACTAAAATAGATCAATAAATTATTTTTATAAACAATCTCAAACACCCCGTAAACTATCAATAGTTATGAGTGTAAAAAAAATTAACTACATTTTTGGTGCATATGGTATGTTACAAATTTCGGTTTTGCCCCTGGGGTTCCTTTATTATTTTAGTGATTATGAATTTTTATTTTTTGGGGGTTTTGATTCCTCTAACAAACACCATTAAAATCCATTTTGACCTTTTCTTATGCTATCCTTCAATTTTCTTTCAAACATTTACAAAAATATTATTATTTATATAATATTATATATATATAACGTATTATATTTATAACGTATTATATTATGTTATAAATATTATATTAAATTATTTTATATGTAACTTATAATATCATAGGGAAAGGTTCATTTGAGAAATAAATCTGATCTTAATCCTCAATTTGGTCAACATTTGTGATTTTAATCATGAATCATCGGATAATTTCTCACATGGTTATGTTGAAGATAGAGGGATAATTTTATATCTTTTACAAATAGACGGTAAATGGGTTCACGTTTGAACTATATGTTCATATATGAACTCGTTAATTAGTTCACATGTGAACCATTTAACTAATTAGCATATGACACCGTGTTAATTAGTTCATATATCATTCAGTTAAAATAATTTATATGTGAATTACACAGGTTCACATATGAACATATAATTTATATATGAACTTGTTTGTCGCCTATTTGTAAAAGTTATGAAGCTACTCCCTTTATTTTTCGCATAGTCACAAATTTTGACTAGTCAAAACCGCAATTCCTGACCATGTTAAATTCGCAATTCTTGACCAGTCAAATTTGATCTTGACGGGTCAAATTTGATCTTGACCGTATGAATGGCTATAATCACTTCTTTTCTTCTCAAATATTTAACACTTCTCAAAATAACCTATGGCTGATATTACGTGTGTGTGTGTGTGTGTGTGTGTGTGTCTGTATATATATAGGTGAAGGATCGTGTGAGGAAAGAAGTTATGGTGAGAATCGTAAGAAGAAATCTAAACCTCTAATCACTTTTAATCTCATGCTCATCCATGAATTGCTCTTTATAAGGGAATTGATCTGGTGCATCTCGGTGCACCTCATTATTGTTGACATTCAATTAAAATTGACTCAATGGTGAAGATGTTTTCTTATGCTTCTCATCATAACTTCTTTTCTCACCATAAATCAACTGTATGTATGTATGTATGTATGTATGTATGTATGTATGTATGTATGTATGTATGTATGTATGTATGTATGTATGTATGTATGTATGTATGTATNATGTATGTATGTATGTATGTATGTATGTATGTATGTATGTATGTATGTATGTATGTATGTATGTATGTATGTATGTATGTATGTATGTATGTATAATATTATTCCGACCCCCTCTACCTTTTAACTCTTTCTTTACCTTTAGTGCCACCCCTATTGGTGTAATGCTCACCCCTTATGGTGACTCATCCTTCTCTCCAACCAATTGCCTTATTCTCTCCCTCTCATTTACGACCAACCCCAAATCCGACCATCACAAACCACCTCTTTCTTATTTTCCTTTTTGTATATGTAATTCAAATATGAAAAGCACAATGAAAACAACCCTAACTTAAAGAAATCCCCTTTTTTATGGTTTCACCTTTGGATCAAGTGTATATTAATTAATTAAAAGTTTTTCTAAGCCCGTTATTTACATGGATATGTATGTCATTCATATTTGCCCAACCCTGTTTATCGCTTCCAAGGTAACGTTTTCATATGCCTATTACTTTTCTCTAAATATCGGTTCACATGTTTGATTCACCATTTGGATGAGAACACACACAAATGTAGGGCAAATGCATTATGTTGAGAAGACACAAATTGGGTCCTTATCATCAAACTATATATCGGTCCCTACGTTTGGGTCACTACTACTTGTAGGTTGTAGCTAAGGCAAGAAGATGGGCTAGGCGGACGTCTAGGGGCCTTTGGGGGCTAGGGTCCCTGCAAATATTTTATCTCTTAGGTAGGTAAAACTTAGTCCATTATGTTAACATTTTGTTTTCCGCTTCTCTTTAAGTCTGGCCACCCCAGTTAAAAGGCTTGTGTCTTGCTATTAGATAGGCACACACAAAGACAATATATATTGGTTTGTTTCAACCTCAAATGGTTCATCGATGCTTTGGTTTCATTCAACCTCAAATGTGGTTTAGGCTTCAAAACAAAGAAGAAGGGGTTTTCCCTAACGAAGTTGTTACTTTCCTGAGCAGGTGAAATTAGGTTTTTCTCTAAAATGAAGAAAGACCCTTATAAGACCCATCTTGTTATTTAGACAACAAAGCTTGGAAATTTAGATCTGCATGGATTCGTGCATGTTGCATTCACAGATCGAGGAAGAAGTGGGAAGGGAAATGTCGAGCGGGTAGGTGGGGTTCATTAATGGGTTCTACACATAAAGAAAGGCAAAAGAATATAAAAAAGAATCAAAATAGCTTTCACTTACGAGACTTTTTTAATAAAATTAGTCGGAGGAAACAAAACTGGAAAAAATTGCCAACCACAATGACCATGAGTGTGGTAAACTAAATACATGGACCGAAAATGTAGTTTACTGTAAATATATATACTATATTATAAAACATTTGATAAAAACTTTTAAAAACCATTTTTTATGCATGAAGTACTGTTTATTGATGGATATTACTTAAAATTCAAGATTACAAGTAAATTGTACGTAAGTACAACTTATTAAAGCTATATTTTGAATTTGTGTAACTAACTGTGGATAAACATAATCAAATAGAGGATAAACATCTCATTTTAAAATATAAAAAATATAAACTATAATTAGGATAATTATTGAGTTCTAACAAAATAATTAATTATTATCTTTATAAAAAAAATTATATTATTAAACCAAATATAAATTACTTCGTTATTGAACCTAAATTAAATTATAATAAAAAAATTGAATTAAAAATTACACAAAAAATGAGGAATTTTAAATAGTTAATTTGATGTTAATATCAATGTATTTTTGTCAAATTCTTATGATATTTTCAAATTTATATTTTATTCAAAAATAAAAACAGTATCGCTTTTTCAAAATCACATAAAATCATATTATAACATCAACCGAGATAGGTAATAAAACTTCAAGATGTATCTCGTTGCATTGCGCGATTATCCTTCTAGTAATATAAATAAATACCAAAAACATAGACACATTAATAAAAATTCGAAGTATTAATTTAAAACTTACTATTCAATTATTTAATAATGAAAATGATTTTTAAAATACATAACTTAACAATCAAAATAATATAATGTATATTGACAATTTAATAATGTAAATTGTTTTCCAAAAAAATTAAAATAAAATAACTTTTAAGTGAATAAAATAATGTTGGAAAATAATATTTGTTTTTGTTAAAAGCAATAAACATTTTCTCAATATTTTATTTTGCACTTTTTACATAAAATACACGAAAACGGGTACATATTTTCTTTAACTCCTTTTAGACAAAAATTTAAAAGCTTTTAATTCAAAATATTTATTTATCGTCTTGTATTTTGAAAACTTATTTATAGTATATCATAAAGCATTTGATTAAAAATCTTAAAAATAATTTTTTATGCATAAAATATTGTTTATTAATACATATTACTTAAAATTGAAGATTACAAGTACGATGTGCATGAGTATATCTTATTAAAGCTTCATGTTTGATTTGTGTAACTAACTACAGATAAACATAATAAAATACATGATAAACATTATTTTAAATATAAAAAATCTAAATTATAATTAAGATAATCTTTGAGTTCTAACAGATTACTTAATTATTATCTTAAAAAATTATTTTATTAAACCAAAAATAAGTTAGTTCGTTTTTAAACTTCAATTAAATTATAATAAAAAATTAAATTAAAGAAATTACATAAAAACAAAAACTTTTAAATAGTTAATTTGATATTAATATCGGCTATTTTTTTTCATAATTTTAGAATATCTTCAAATTTATATTTCATTCAAAATAAAAACATTTTCTTTTTCTCAAAACCACATAAAATCGCATTATGACATTGATAGATCCAAAATATAAAACGAAACATTAAAATCAAGATGTATCACGTTGTATTGCGCGAGTACCCTTTTAGTTGTACTATAAAATATTTGAGATAATCTCTTAAAAACCATTTTTGATACATCAAATATTGTTTATTAATACATATTACTTAAAACTCAAGATTACAAGTAAATTGTACGTCAATATAACTTATTAAAACTCCATGTTTGAATTTGTGTAACTAATTTCAGATAAACATTATTAAATATATGATAAACATCTCACTTTAAATATAAAAAATTTAAAATA